GGCTACGAATGAGTAATTATTAATTATTGGGGGGGTGCACACCCCCCCTACACCCCGCCACTTTCGCGGGGCCTGCTTGTCGGTACCTATACAAGTACTTGTTAAGTAAACATACTGGTATGGGTGCCCAGTGCAGTACCTACATCAGTCAAATTATTGAGGATTTTCGAAGTACCCATATCGGATACCTTGCTAGAGCTTTCTCAGTATATGGGTAACCTGAACTCAGGACTTTCTCTAGGGTTGGTTAATGACATTTGTTTAGTATTTCTATGTATGTTTCTTTTAATTTTTTCACATAGTCTACAGTTGACCTTTTCGAAAATGCATACTACATTTACAGTAGCGAAAGAGTGTCCTCGTTAATTAAATAGTTATTTAATGGTTTTTAAATTATCTGAAAGAAGTCTTCGAATTTTTTTAATAACATCATAGGTTCTCTCTGCTTTTAAATAAACAATTCTACAGTTGGAAAGTATCATTTTTTTTATGATGGTAATGGCTTTATACAATATAGGAGTTATACAAAGTTGTGAACTTGGTAGTTTCCTTCTTGTCTCTAGAATCTCATGGCTAGAAAGTTTTGTCTATCCCTATAATTTAACTTTAAAGTACAAAAAGAGATTCACACTTTTTTTTTTCGTTGTTTTCTAAGAACTAAATCTCTTGCTAGATGTGAAAGTCAATGATTGCATTGCATTCTGTTTTAGTTATACTGAAACCGAAGCCATAGATGAATCAATTTTAAATCATTTATTTCTACCGTGTAATCTACCGTCATCAGCCGATGCTGACTTCTTGATTAAATCAAACCATGAAAACGAGCATGTACTATTAGAATGTTTTAATGAATTCTTGGCATCAATGGAGGCAAATTTGACACTTCCAGTATTTAGAATTATCAAGAAATGTATCCAAAGTTGGACAGTTTTACAGAATCCAAAAACGTTATGCATCACCAATTTACAATCGAACATGAAGCAATTAGAAGGAGGCGATTTTTTCTCTCTTTATTTTCATACTCACAATGCTGCTATTTTGATTGAGATGGACAGAAGTAGCGTTAGTCGACCGCTGATTTCATCGTGGGAAGTTTTACTATCATCAGCAGAAATCACTTCTAATTTATTACCTCGTCTCGTTTGCTTTCCTCTATCACAATATTATTTGCAGAAACTATCTCAATTAGGTTCAAAAGCACAATGTGAATTATTAATGGATTTTATGAACAATACTCTGGAACATAATCAATCATACAAATCTTCTCGTGCATTCGATGAAACGCGTGATATTCCTATATCACTTTATGTATGTCATTGGTGGATAACGCAGTTTCAAGAAGTGGAAATTGAAAATCCAATAAAGCAAGGCATTCAATTTACAAAAAAACATCGTGATCACGTAAGATGGGATAATGCACTACTTCCTTTTCGACGTTCAGGTTTATGGATGACGATGAAAGTAGTACTTCAAACTATTCTTATCAAAAATTTAGGAAACTTTGGTAATATCGCTTATAAACTATTGATCACTTACTTTCTTACATACGTGATTTATACAAGACAAAAACGTATCGATTCGAAAATAAATGTTGACTTGTTAATACATTGTCTTCGAAAAATTGTACGAAGATTAAATAAAATCGATAATTTGTCGTTCATTATTGATTCGGATACTGTGAAAGAATGGATCAAAAATACAAAAAGAAACATTGAACAACAACTGAATCAGATAATTCCTATTCTGGCTTGGCAGCAACCTATCGAAAGAGAGAAGCAAGAAGCTCTAAAGTTATTAACAATCGAATTAAATAAAAATTATTCCGAAATCTATCAGCATTCCTGCGAGAAAATAAAAGCTTATCTAGCTAAACGAGTTTCTAACAGTTCAAATCTGCGATCTTCAAACAACTGTCCATATTTTGGTACGATGAACACGAGTGTTCAAACGAAAACGGCACTACCCTCATTAGCAAATTTCAGTAATCAATTGAAATATACAACAGAAGTAGCTTTGACTCGTGTAGAACTATGGATTGAGTTTTGTTCGGAGTCATGGCTTAATGGCATATCACTATGTGAAAATACCAAGGAAGCTTTTACAAAACTACTAAATCTCTTCGAAGAATATCAGACTACAGCTTTGAAGCATTATTATTTAGAAAAGTCATCCATTGATCCTATAGGTTATACTCGATTTATTCTAACGTCATTAACAGTTATTCGTCTAATGCATCAGAAATTATGTGCAGATCAAAGATTCGAAAGACTGAGATTTCATTCAATCGAAATTCCCCATCTCATTGAATTATTCGACTTTTTATTGTTACCTACTCGAAATGATATGATTCGAGCTCATGAGCTTTATAATTTTTTCAAAGAATACAGTCAAAAACAATATCCAGATCTTATCAGAAGTATCGACTCGTCGAATGCGTTTGGTGTACATTTTGCCAGTCAATCAGAAACAATGAATGAAAGCTTGAGTCAAATTCGAGCTCAAGCTGACCGAGACAAACAGACTAAAATTAAGGAAGTAAACGATGAGAAGGAAAGATATGCACAACTTATGGAAGAAGCTAATAAACTCAACTGTGAATGCGTTTTCGGTACATATAGGAGAGGTCGTTATGTTCGCACTTATGTGAAAGAAAAATGTGTTCGATGCAAAACTATTGAAAAAGCAAAAAACATTAAAGTAGACATTTATGAATGTCCAATACCAACGAGACAAGAAAGTGCATTAGCTGTTATCTTCGAGTTACAAATGCCTATTGAAATTCGATGTTATCGTGAGATTCTTTGGCAATTTATAAATCGACCTAATCCACAACCATATAATTCTAAGTATGAATGGCTGAGCGTTCGACCCCATAGTAACAAGTTAAGATCATTCTATACTGGTCCATATAATTCTAAACTAAAATTAGTTTCTTCTACTGAATCTCTAACACAAAGTCATTATTCTACTCCCCGACCAGTGTCATCGACATCTCTAGAACAATATTTGTATGAAAACTCCCTACAAGTAGAAATCTCTCCAACTAATCCGACAACATTGCAGAATGAATGTCGAACACTAACACCTCAACTAACTGATCCCGATTACAAACATTTGCAGTTTTCTATTGATACCACAGAATTTGTGCAGAACCAAGTAATTTCAAAAGTAACATATTGTCCATCACGTATAAAATCTACACATTTTGTTGAGTTTGGTTCGTTTCGTTCGGGTCATCGATTACAATGGTGGAATCTATTGAGTATATTGGAATGTGAAGCTTTGTCACTTAATGAAGAAAGTGTCGTTCTACTCATCGTACATTCAATTTTACAGAATGGTCCAATGATTCAGAATGAAAATGAAGTCGTCGGTTCGTGGTGTCCAGAAGCGCATCAACCATTATTAGAAGATTATTTTGTAGATGAATTGATCATGAGATTAGAACGATGTTTGACAGGTTGTAAACGCAATTGGCAGAATGAATGTATTTTAATCATTATTATAATAATCACTATAAGAATATTGAATATTTGTAATAACACAAAAATAAATCAAGTGACAGAATTAGCTATGAAATGTCGTCGTATCGGTGAAAAATGGATTGAACTTATTTCGAATACGATTCAAAATTTACCATCAAATGATCTTGATCAAATAAATCAATTACGTGACAAAATTGTTATTATTAGTACTTCTTGTCTACTAATATTTTCAGTAAATACAGATCGTTTGCATGGTTTACTATCGTCTAATGAACATGTTATTTCTTTACTTAAAGCAGTTACAACTATTCATGATAATATGATTTTGAATAAGAAACAAGTTGATAGAAGTGATTTTATGAAAAGTCTCATTCGATGGAGTAATCGTGTGTTAGTAATGATACAGCCAACATTGACTGAATGTCTTCAACAAACTGCTTATCAAAGTTTAAATGAGTTTACGGCTATCTATTGTGGTCGATTTCGAAATGTAACTATGAGTGAAGGAAAATGGCAAAAACGAACAACTGATGTTTATGATGGTTGGTATGATGGTCAATATGGATCGCATGCAGTAGCCATTGACTGTTTGAGAGGATACTTCTTATTTAATGGAAATACGATTATGTTTTTACCTGAAAAAATTACTTCTAATTCATTATTTCGTCGTATATTCGATAACCATATTCTTGAAGTATACTCAACCGATTCGGACCAGCGATATATCACAAAACATACATATCATGATGATGAGAATGTTGTCTATGAGTTTCATTTCAATCAGAACATTTCAACTTTAGTAGTACTCGAAATACATACGAAAACAAACGAAATCTTTGAACTTATTCCTCATGAATGCTTCGAAAGAGAACTTGCCGATATTTTCGTCTCGAATTATAGCCACTGGTTGAATAGACGTAGTCAAGAAATTGAATTTCGATCTATTAAATTTAATCATCCTAATTTTCTCAAAGATAAACCCTATATATTAAACTTGAAAAATGGATTTATAAAAACAAACAATGTAGAAAAAACAGAAATATTGATTTGTCGATCATCAATATTCTTTCAAAATTTATTTCAAAAATATTTTATTCGTCTTGATGATGAACCGTATGTGTATATGCTGTGTGATAATATTTCACAAATAACTGAAAAAATCTCATCAAAAATCAATGCAACTGTATTTATTTATCTCTCTCGTTTGGGTATTGCTTTCAAATATGATACACAAAGTCAACGTATAGCTTCACGTGAATATGCCGATTTTTTTATTGATGAAAATCAATGGTTTGGTACATTAACAGGCTTGAAAAGAGGTCTTCTTCTTTCTTCAATATCTAAAACTCATCAAAAAGAACAGTACTATTCATCAAGAAAATTGATTGTTCCTTTTGGAAAGATTTCTATTGAACGAGTATCCAAAAATGATCATCAAACTGTAACAATCGAAAGAACTTTATCTATCCCATTTCTTTATCAATATTTTGTTTTTACTCTGAATGATCGTTTACGAATTCTACAATCAACAGACAGTCCAACAGGATGGTTGTATCTTGCACTGTTACATGCTGTAACATCACATTCTCTACAAGATTTCTATACTGGAATGACAGGAATGGAACGTGCTTTTCAATTGCTTAACTCAGCTGGTTGTTGGACAGATCAACCGTTCGATGACTTATCTATTAATATTCTTCATCAAATTGCAATGATTTCACCAAAAGTAAATTATTATCCGACACATTTGACTTGTATGGAAGTAATTCAATGGAATAAAAATGGTTTACCGTATTCTCTTCAACATTTTGGATATTATTTAATTGTTAAACAGCTCATAGATACGAGTGAGCAGTTAAGTTTCATGTACTCGAACTCTACGTCCCAGAAAGCGTCCAAAATATTTGAAAATAATCGAAATAATGTACGATTATTGGGAAAACTCTATTGGGATTATAGAGATTCGTATAATCCGACTGTTCGATTGTCCGAGGAGATGGAAGCTGAAATTGGTTCTTCCAGTGCATCCCAACCACCTGTAAAAAATTTGGTTTATAGCCAGCCAAGTGCAAACTATCATCCATTTTCACTCACGACTGATATGTATGAGTCGGGTAATGTAAATCTAAAAAACAGTTCAGAATTACATTGTTTTCCATTGAATCGATGGCTTAAAAGTGATTATGAACTCAAAGAAGTGTGGATTGGTTTGTTGAAATTAGCTATTGCTGCCAAAGATGCAGCATCTGCTGGCAATAAGGATCCTATGGAAGAATTTGAAATTTTACTAGATTTTCTTGATTACATCGCTCATAAACGTTCTATCAAAGCATTCTATTTGAAAATGTTGAAGACTGCATTGCTAGAACCAACAATTTCATGGAAATCTATTATCTTTCCTCAATTTACTTCGTACAATAAGATTCAAGAGATTTCATGTTATCAGCAACAGATTGAAGAAATTCTATCAGGTTCAGAATGTTGGAGACAAATGAGTTTTTCGTCAACTAATAATTCATCGATTCGAAGTTTAACTGAAGATCAACGAAAACAAATTATTGAAGAAATCGAACTTTGCTTTCAGGAAGATCGCACCTACACTGATAACTTAAATCTTGTTACTGTTTTCGAAAAACAGAAAATTAACACATTATTAGCATCTTGGTAATTGAATAAGAAACTTCGACTGTTTTTAAAAATCGTTGAAAGAAATATTTCGCTCGTTATATTAAAAGGATTCAAAATAAGATTAAATATAACTGCTCAACAATGTACAGTTGAGAGAATGGAAAATCACCATAAAATATTACTCAAGTCAACGATTCTACCAATGAATGCTCAACTGCTAATCAAGGCTCAACAACGATACTTTAAATCTTATTCAAATCAGTTAATCAAATCGATAAATTCACTGGAAAATTGCAATCAATCAAAAGGATTTCCCGAAGAACTTTTTCCTCCTACAAAGAATCAGAATAATTCTCTTAGTGGTATAATGAATTATTTTAAAAACCATTTAAACATCAGCTGGAAACAATTTCAAGCGACCAAAGAAACGTTAATAGAACCCGATGCACAAGATGAAATGAATAAACTTCTTATCTTATTTCGTCAAGAATCTACCGAATTCTGGGCAGAATTGATACAATCGATAACATTATTCAACGAACTTCTATTTAAAACTGGTCTAGTTTTGAGAATTACACCAACAACTCTCATATCTTTGCTTCATCAGCTGTGGTTAAACGAAGAACATCAGGAGCAATTTGCCAATGAATCATTAGCAACAAAACGATCAAAAGTAGAACAATCTTGTGGACTTATTCTTACAAAAGAGCAATGCGCACTCTTAGGTGGTACAATAGTTAATTGGATTATTGAACAGCACATCGAGAGGGCTTTACACTTTGCTTCTCATCAAAGATGGGAAGATTTTAAAATGGAACTATCGAACACACCCCATACGAATTGGATACCGGCTGAACACCTACCATGGTTAATCTTAGAATTAGAAATGAATATTACCATTCGAGAAATACAAATCAAAGTTGTACGCCATATGATGGAACCACCAATACCAATAGATGATAAAATTGCTAAAAATATTGTCATGCAAATGAATATGGGCGAAGGTAAAACTTCAGTCATTATACCAATGCTGGCACTTAGTTTATGTTCATCGTCATCGAGTTTGGTTCGAGTAGTAGTATTGAAAGCACTACTGACTATCAATTATCAATCATTACGATCGAAATTAGGTGGTTTACTCAATCGAAAAATTTTCCCGTTTTTCTGTCGTCGAGATATGGATTTTGACTTGACACAAATCAACATTATCTTTCAACGATTCCAACAAGCTTTAGTAAAACGAGATGTCGTTATAACAGCACCAGAATATATTCTCTCATTTGATTTACTTGCTATCGATAAGTGTCGTCGACAAGATCTTGAACTAGGCAAATCGATGTTGAACATACAACGATGGTTGAAAAAATACGCTCGTGATGTTTTAGATGAATCTGATGAAATTCTTCATGTCAAATATCAATTAATTTATACTGTCGGTGGCCAGCTACAGGTGGACGGTGGTATTGAGCGTTGGAAAACCATTCAATCTATATTACATTCAGTCAAACGACATGCTGCAAGTATTGCACAGTTATACGAAAATGACGTTTGTTACAAACCATCAACAAAAGCGAGTCATTTTCCAGAATTTCGTTTGTTATCACAACAACCATTTTCAAAATTGTGTGAAAATATAGCCAATGATTGGTTAAATAACAAAGACTATCGTCAAGTGGATAAAAAACTCATTTCATCATTTATACTGAAGACGGACGTCTCATTTGATAGACTCAAACATAAATTTTCAACTCATGCTATTCAACAATTTCTCATTCTTCGTGGTCTTCTATCAGCTGAAGTGATCTATTTTGCTTTGAAAAAACGTTATCGAGTCAATTTTGGTGTTAATGAAAGTCCTACATTCAGACGGTTGATGGCCGTACCATTTCGTGCTAAGGATGTCGCTGCTGAAAATACAGAATTTGGTCATCCCGATTTAGCAATTGTTTTAACACAATTATCTTATTACTATAGTGGTTTAACTGCATCACAAATTGGCCAATGTTTAGACCGCTTAAATCAACATGAAAGAGAACCAGAATTGATTTATGAAAAATGGATTTCAAAAGAAGACGAGAAAACTATCGATTCAAGTATTAGACATTGGAAAGGTATTAATTTGAAAGATGGCCAACAAATGAACCATCACCTGTATCCTGTTCTTCGTTACAATATGATAGTAATTGATTACTTTCTCGATCATTTTGTTTATCCTCAAGAAGCTAAACAGTTTCCTCATAAATTAGTCGCATCTGCTTGGGATTTATCTGCACCTTCAAGAACGAAAATAGTCACTGGGTTCAGTGGTACCAATGATACACAATTATTATTACCCGTTCATATTCGACAATGTGACTTGCCAGAACTTCAGAAGACAGATGCGATTGTTTTAAACAATTTGCTACAGCCAGAAAATGCAAATTATCAATCATTAACAGTCAATACAAACTCTTATGAAATTCTGAATCATATCGTTCATCGTAAATCGATGATTAATGTCATTTTAGACGTCGGTGCGTTGTTTATCGATGGTACTAATCGTCAGATTGCCGTCAAATGGTTGGAACTATCGGATAAAAGCAAAGTTGATTATGCCATATATTTTGAAATGGATTCCATTTTTGTTTGTGATCGTCAACATCAACATCATCCTTTTCAAGCTTCTCCGGCTAATGAACGACTTGATCGTTGTGTAGTCTATTTGGATGAAAGCCATACGAGAGGAACAGATTTTAAATTTCCAAATGATTTTCGAGCTGCTGTTACTTTAGGCAATGGTTTGACTAAAGATCGGTTTGTGCAAGCTTGTATGAGAATGAGAAAATTAGGAAAATATCATTGGTTAACTTTTTGGAGTTCACATGAAGTTGATCAACAAATTCGAACGTTGAAACATGTTACATCAGATAAAAGCCAAGATGAAACAATTCATTTGATTGATATCATTCGTTGGGTATATGAAAATACACAACAAGCTACATGGGATGGTCTACATCATTGGTCAACACAAAGCTTGAGCTATCAGCAAAAAGTCAATGCTTTTCAACATGTTCAATGGACGAATAGTGAACAACAGTTTACATTTAATCTATTGCAAGAACTAGCTACACATTGCTTAGAACCAGAAGTAATATCATTGGAGAAGATGTATGGTCCACAAAAATTATTGCAAACGATTGAAGAAATTTATTCTACACGATCGAAACAACTCAATTTACATTTGAACGATGAAATTCATAAAGCGGTATTAAAACGATTAAAAGATTATGGTGGATCAAAGAAAATTCTCGCTAGCTCATCTGATGAAGAACAGCAACGAGAATTACAACGAGAAGTCGAACAACAAGTTGAGGAAGAACGACAACATCAACGTCCTATACCTGTCAGTCCCCAGGAACCAAAACTACATGATGCAGTCAAGCAATTGTGCAGTGTGGATGGTTCGATGTTGGACTTGAAATCTTTAACTGAAGTATTTCGTCGTCTTCCTTTTGCTTTTAATGGTTCTACGTTTTCTCAAGATTGCCAACCGTCTAGTTGGCAAAAAAATATTTGGATTTCAACTGAATTTCAGAAAGTAATTCGAACATTAGGAGAATCATTAGATCCATTTTTGAGGCCTCCACGATGGATTGTAGTCTATCGGAACGAACACGTTATTTTTGTGAGTGCTTATGAAGCTAACTGGTTGATTAATCAACTGAAAACTGAATTCTACACGAAAAAGATAGATCAATCATATACTACTACCCTGCGCTTGCTATTACCACGTATTAAACATGATCAATCAATTTTAGTTAACACACCGACATTAACGATTCCACTATCGATAGTCTCTAATGGAATATCTCCTTTTATCATACCCAACGAATGGTTAGTTAAATTATTGATTTTCAATGGCACTCTCTATTTTGAAACAGTGGACGAGCAAGAAGCTTATTGTCAATGTTTGGGTGTGTGTCCAAAGCCACGAACTAAGATTGAAAAAGATGCATTTGAGAGTGGATGGATTTTAGTAGATGGATTCATACCACAAGAAGAACACCGTCGACTTTTACAAAAGTATAGATGTTGTTTCACTGCTAATCCGTTACCATTTATTCAAAAACTAATCGAAAATCGAAATGGTTCACATGCACCTCGTACTTCGCATGTCGGCAGTATTATCTTCGATACTACCAAAATTCTGTCCTAATCATTTTAGTAATCACTGTGAAAGTCATAAACATCAATAACTAATAACCAGTGTTCTATGTTCTACAATAAGGGTGGGTTTGGGTGTGGGTGTGGACGTGCAGTCTGAGTATGGATTGTAGGGGTGGGTGTGGGTGTGGGTTTGTGGGTGTGGGTGCGGGTGTAGGTGCGGGTGTGGATGTGGGTGTGAGTAAAGAGAGAAATGACACCTCACACCCACACCCATATCCGTTTTTATATTGGGCTTTCGACCAATTCGATTTTTCAGGCTGAAAATTCAGTCAATCCGACATATGTAACAAGTTCTCCCTTAATCAGCTGTTTTATGACTAGGTTTCCATAGATGAGGCTTGTATCGGCAGCGAAAATGAATGAAATAAAAGAGTGTTTCTTTTGGTATATGCCTTTCTTGGTATTACTTCAAGCACCTGAATGTGTACTGATATATTCAAAGTATCTGCCTAGTCTTATCGCTGCTTTGAATAAGAGCTTGTTGTATGTATGATATTTCGATTAGAGGTCAGATATAATATTATTTATTTCCAACTAGGGGTTCCATTGGCTCCTACTTTCCTAGAGAGCTCTATAGTAAACAATATTATCTACGAATGTGCTAGAATGTATACAAATTTCTAGAAGAATTTTCAAAGAGCAGTCTGCGTTTTCGTATAAATGTTGTGAACTTCTTTTGCTACGTGACCTCTGAAAAAATTGATTATGATATCTCGTGGCTTTTCGAAGTAAGCCGTGCTTGGGGTTAGACGAAGTGTAAATAAAGAAGAATTATGTTGTGGAGAAATAGAATGAAACATAGCAGCGGCTAGCCGTGAGTGGCGCCCCGAAGGT